CGAGGACGGCGAGGAGCGGCTGCTCACCGTGACGCTCTCCAAGCTGAAGCACTCGCTGGGTGCGTGGCGCCGGGAATGGGGCGTGGGGAGCCCCATCCCTGCTCCCCGTGCCGGCAGCGGGGATGTRCCAAGCAGGACACAGGTTGGATTCATCACGGAGCGCGTGCGGGGCCGCGGCATCTCCGCTCTCTCGCAGGCATCAGCATCTCGGGCGGCATCGAGTCGCGGGCGCAGCCCATGGTGAAGATCGAGAAGATCTTCCCCGGCGGAGCCGCCTTCCTCAGCGGCGTCCTCAAGGTAGGGGCAGCGGGCGGCTCGGAGCGGGGCTCCCGGCGGCCKCCGGCCCCTCGCCGCTCCAGCGCCGCCTCGCAGGCCGGGCACGAGCTGGTCTCGGTGGACGGCGAGAGCCTGGAGCACGTGACGCACCAGCGCGCCGTGGACACCATCCGCCGCGCGTACCGCAACAAGGCCAAGGAGCCCATGGAGCTGGTGGTGCGCGCGCGCGCCGCCCTGACGCCGCCGCGAGCCGCCCGCGCCGGCGGCTCCCCCGGGAGCGCCCGGGACACGAGCGGCACACGCGGCGCCGCTGCGGACGCACAGACGTGAGGCCGCCCTGGAAAATAAACCCCAGCCGGGAGCTCGGTTTTAATCGTGCGCGGCCGGGTGGCACAAGGGCGAGCCGGGCTCCGGGACACAACCGGAATGGGAATAAAGTATAAAAATCCCCCGCGGGAGGCGGGGGCGACCAAGCCAGAGCTGGGCGGCGCTGCAGGCTTCTCCTTTGGCTTGGGGCTGCTTGGCCCTGGCCTCGCCATGGGGCTGGCCCCACGTCCCCCCCGCGCCCCTCAGCCCCCCGGCCAGGGCATCACCGGGGCCGCGCTGTGGGCTGGGGGTGCTGGGGGGCAGGCGTGTGGGGAAGGCACTGAGGAGAACGTGCCCCACGGCGCGGGCGCCGCGGGCAGGGCGGGAGCCGGGGCGGGCAGTGGGTGCTATAAAAATAGAGTTCTTTCCAATGGCACAGAAACGAATCCCCGGACAAACGCCCGGGCTGGGGGAGGCGGGACGGGGCGCGCGGCCCCTCGGGCCGGGGGCAGCGAGGGGACGGCCCCGCCGCTGCTGCGCAGCATGACCCGGCTGCAGCCGGCGCGGCTAATCCCGCGGGCGCTAAGAGGATCAGCGGGAAGCGGCTCCGGGCGCCGCGGAGCAGGCGCAAAGCGCCCACCGGGCACCGCGGTGCCGCCGCGGCCGCCCCGCCGCCGAGCGCGGGGCTCCACCTGAGCTCCCTGTGTCCCCTCCGTATGCCAACAGTCTCCRCATCGCGGGGCCGGAGGGGGCTCCCCGAGCTCCCAAAATCCCGGGAGGCGGCGCCTCAGATCTCGGTGGCCGTGATCTCCTCGAAGGGCGGCTCGGGGCTGGCGGCGCCGCCRGGCTCCGGCGGCGGCTCCTCGCCCTGCAGCCGCAGGCGCTGCAGCCGCTGCTCGAGGCGCCGGTTGCGGCGGTACATGTGGATGTAGTTGCACTGCAGCTGCTTCTGGTAGCGGATGACGCGCTCCTTCTCGCCCTGCCACGTGCCGCGCTCGCGCTCGAAGGCGGCGCGC